GCGGTATGACCATTTCCAAGTTTTTTGTGTCTGTCCCGTGGCAGCCCATTGCTTGGCAGGGGGCCATGGGAGCGCACGTTTGAGTTCGACGTAATCTCCTTTGAGTATGTTTTTAGTGTGTGTGTTTCGGAGAACAGACAAAGCGGAACAGTGTTGTTTCCTAGTACTCCATTCCGTTTTCCCTCTCTCTTGTTTTTCTTTCTGAGTCATGTCGTAAATCTCAAGTAAAGGATGCTTGGGAAGGAACTGACCTTTTATTCCATCACTACTTGATTGACTCTGATCCAAGGCTAAGTTATTTATGGGTATACTAATATCAGTGTAGATTAACCTAGAACTGTTTTATAGAAACTCTGAACTTTAGTTTCTATTTATTACATTACTATACTGTTATGCCCTTTACTGGCCTAGTAATTATATTAAGATTTTACATTTACTCATATTTGTAAAGATTTTTCAAAGCCGTCCAGCCATTGACGTGGCAGAAACAAAAAAGCAGCATAAAATGTACGGTTAAGATTTTTCAATATGCAGTTTTCGCTGAGTCACTGTTTTTTCTTTTTTGAGCTTAGTCACTGTTTCTTACTACAGAGATTTAATTGGGGGTGACGGGGTGTTTTGCTAACTTTTTAAATTGCCGGCTTGTGTTTATCTGGTACTTTAATAAAGTGACAAGGTTTTTTTGTGATTCTGTAAATGTTAGTGGGTGGAGTTTTGTGAGTGTTATCAGAGAACTGAAGTTTCCTATATAGACAAACTTTTATGCATTACAACTGCACTAAGTGTTTAATTTCAATCCAGTATTTCTCCATGTCTTGCATTGGAGACTTAAAGAAAAGAAGTCCTAATAAAACATACCGTTAAAGAACAGTAATACATATTTTGAGATAATGTATATAGTTAAAAAGGTACTTTAAGGTCACCAAAATAGGCACTGGTTAATGTGTGTTTACTATCTGGTATACTGCGTTATTAAAATGTGACTTTTAATGGAGTAAGCCTTAGGTTATTCTGTATAGTTTTGGATAAATCCTTTAAGTTCCTATAACTGCCTGTTTCATTAAAAGGAATTAGAACATGCCATGAAGTGGCATTGTGTTTATAGAATTCTTTGACATTAAAAGTCTTCAGCCAAAAGGCTATATAAAATATTACTTATTTTCAAATTCAGTTTGATAAAACAGGTGAGATTGGCCTTGGGCTTAGTGGGTTTTACATTGTAGATAGTTACAGAGTTAAATACAGATAAGCAGGTACCAATTAAAACCCAGTCTCTGTAAAGATCTTTTACAAAGGGTGTGTCTTTTTTTGTTTAAGGCTGTATAATGTGAGTATTAGATAATTCCCCATATATTTGCTTTTAATAAGCTTTATATGTAGCAATGGCTTGGTACTAAGTTATACATAAAGCTTTGTGGATGTAAATATGGCTGTTGTGTAAAGTGAGGTACATCTGTTTTCTGAGGAATACATGTCTGTATCTATTGAAAGCACATAATTATAACCAATCTTTGTAGAGTTCCAGGCTGTTTTCACAGAGTAATTGCCTCAAGGTCACAGAGCTGAGGCTCCTTGGAAGCCCATTCCCCCTGTGTCATGTTGCCCATTTTAATGAGCTGAGTTCCACCATTTGGGTGATTATTTTTATCTCAATACCAACTCAAATAGGTTCTGATTTCAGTATTAAATATTTTTTAATATTATTCTGATTCTGATATAAGTATAATTCATTTGCTTATTTGGTGGAGAACACTACAAGTAGTTAGGATTTTCACTTTGGAATAAGCTAATCAGGACCATATTTAGAAATGGAAGGTATATGTTTTGATTATATCTTAACTGGAATGGTAAAAAATTGAAAAAAATCCCATATAATTATGTCATCATTCTATAAATAAAAAGTGTGAACCAAATTTAGTAAAAGAATGTATACAGTGTAACCCATTTAGCCATTTGGGATTCATCTCGGAAATGTTCTTTGAGTTGGGAGTTTGATAGTAGATTTTCAATCTTGTGTAGTCCTCCAGCTTTTTAAATCAGCGAATTAAAATGTTCAGCTGAGGTTATAGATTTATTTTGGTCTTTAACACAGTGCATCTGATGAGCTAATGGGTCGCAAGTGTTGTTTATTATGAAGTAATACCTCTGTACAAGAAGGATGGCACTTGCTCTAGAGGAGCTTACAACTGATTGATAAATTTGACATTTCAGTGGTAGGCTTACTGGTAATAATGGTTAACTAATTGAACAAACCTGTCTGTAGTCTGATTTCAGCCTTATACTGAAGCAACATTTTGTTGTTTAAGTAGAATTCTATTTTATCTAATACCATATTAATAATTGTAATAAGCAGTATGCTGATGCCACTTCCTTTTTTGAGCCTGTTTTCCTTACCCCACATTCTAGGCAGGTACCTGCAAATGTGCAGACACCTCCACCTCCGCTTTTTTTCTTGAACCTGATGCCTCTATATTCAGTAACCAGTAACTAGACTGCAGGGTTGATTAGGGAATTAAAATAGGGAACAATATACAGCTCAATGTTTCCTTCTGTGCCTTTTATTACGTTTATTATTTTTTTATTACTTTTTTTTAAGATTTTAAAACAATGGAAGATTGAAATTGAAACTTCCTTTGATTTGCTTTTTTAATGGACAATTTCTTTTACTCCATATACAATGCCTGAGGCATATGACCTAGGTGCTAAGTAAGTATGAATGCACTATTGCCTTTCTAGCGGGTACAGTGAGGTCATTTTGGTTCAATCTGATTGTCTAGTACTAGATCTATAAGGTTATATTTATTCATGAAGTATGTAGTTTTCCCTGAAATGAAGAATCTCATTTTGTTTTGGGATCCATTTGATTATGTCTTGTATTATAATTCTTTCATTTATTCATGTTTTAAAAATAAGTGAGACTCTAATTGAAGCACAATTTGAAATACAGGGAACACAAGAATAAATGATAGCAATGGTCCTGCCTTCTTCATGGAGCTTATAGTGTTTCTGTAGAGATAAATGTTAAACAGGATAATGATTTACTGGTATTAGTAAGGAAAAATCAGTGTGTAATAAAGAGCATGTAGTACAATATGGGATTCCATACTTTTACCTTGGGTATGTGGAACATTCAAGCTGAGACTTAAAGATTTGAGTAGCAGTTGAAGAGGAAAAGGTGTGTGTGTGACTTAGCATATTCTAAAGTCTTGCTAATTTTTGATGTTTTATTTATGTATCTCCATACACATTTTAATGAATGTGGAAAAATAAAGAAATGCCTTTTTGAGGACAATATCTTTATGTCTAGAAATAGCCCTAAATAATAAGCCTCATTTCATTATATGGGAAAATACCATGTCGTAAAAAACTGTTTTTTATGGAGTGCTTATCAGCCAGAGTATGAGATGACCAAGACTTTCTTTTAGAGGAAATTGAAACTGTTGTAAAGCATTTAATCTTTTATAAATATTTTCTAGTCTAATGAAACTTTTTCATTCATTCATCTTTAAGTAAAATTAATAGAGATGTTGTTTGAAATATTAAGATTCTTTTTCAAGAGAGTTTTTAAGAAAACTTAATATTGAAAAGTTTTAAATTAAGCTTATCTTGAATTTGAAGCCTTAGGTAGCAACATGTTTATTAGTAGACCTGCTGTGTCACTGTTCAACTGATAAATGAGAGGTTACCATCTTAAACTTGTTGCCCAGGATTTATGGGCAATTGCAAAATACTTTATAGAGACATATTTAACTTTAACTTGATAATAGCAATTGTATTAGAAAGAGAATGGATCTGGAAGTTCTAAATTCTGAAGCTGAGGGTTTTATCCCCAGAATACTCTTTGTGTATTGTCTAGTGCAATTTCTAAACTTCTTAAATTAAGAAATATATTAAATATATATATATATATAACATGTAAAAATAATTTAAAACCCTTATATTCAAAGCAGAGTAATGTTCTATTAAAATTATAAAGGACCGAAAAGGCTTACTTGACCACAGGGGTGACTAGGTCCTGGAATAAACTACAAGCAATATTGTGTAATCTCCATTCCTCAAGTAACAACTTAAAATTGGATCACCAGTTGCTGAAATACTGCCTTATTTTTTAAACTTCTGTAAGTAAACTTATTTCCATCTGCATTGATCAGATACAGATTTAAATCCTAGTTCTGTCACTTACTAGGTCGATGTCCTTGGGCAAGTCACTTAGCTTTTCTGAATCTCAGTTTCCTGTGGGTTGTTATGAGGATTAAGTGACATGATTTGTGTAAGGAAGGAGAAAATAAGTACATAATTAGTGTTCCCTTTTCCTTCTCTCTTAAGTCTACTTCAATAAATAATAAATATTGTGGACTCATTGCTGTGGATGCTTTTATTTATTTTATTTTTTTAACATTTTTCTTATTCAGAGAATTAGTGTAGAAGAGGCTATTTTGAAGCTTCAGATCCCTCCACTTCCATCTTTCAAAATTATTGCTTTTCTGCCTTTAACTCAGATGTTTGTAGCAGTTGCTATTTTAAACACTTTTGAATTAAATGATGTTTTTGAGACGTGTTCTCCCTCGTGGGGTCATGTGATGTGCCCATAACATAAAGTGTTCCTGCAAGTTCTGAGAGCAGTGGTCACTGCTTTTGGAACGGCATGTATTTTTAGGTTTCTCTCTTAGTAACAGTCAAGCTTATAACCTTCAGCATGTGAGATGAACTCAGTCTAGTTGTTGCAAAACAAGAAAGCTACAGCTGTTTTCATAGTCTTATCACTCAGTGAAAATTGTCTTAATTCTTATTAAAGTTTCTCCTTGAATGTCTGCTTAATTTACAAATGTTTGTTATTATTCGTCTGTCATTTTTTCTATTTTGACTCAACATGTCTATAGATTCTGTGGAATTTATGGAGATAAACATTCAAAAGCATTTAACTCATTTTTAATTTTTAATCACACTTTAAATATAGTTTTGTTGCTCAATGTGTGCCTTGTTCCCCCCTCCCCTCTCTATATCAAGCACCATAATATCAACTCAGAACTTTTCTACTTAATCAACAAAAGCTCTGTCCGTAAATAGGTAGACTTTTATAATTCCAGTTTGAAAATTAAGCCTGGACTTGAGAAAAAGAAATAGCAATTTGGAAAATAATTAGTTTACATTAACCATTGAACCACGATAGAATTTATGGAAAAATGTGTTAGAGAACTAGCCAGCTTTTTTGTGCTGAAGTGAAGAAAACAGGCTAAGAATTGTTTTTTTATCCAGACAATTATTATTACTACAGTGTAATTTAATTCGGAAAACATTGAGATGAGTTGTGTGTGCCATATAATGTAGAGATGTATAATAAGTAATTAGCTGTAGAGATCTGAAGTTTAGAAGAGTGGTCTGGGCAGAAGATAATGAGATTACAGTATGTGGATGGTAATTGAAGCTTCAGAGAAACTGAGAGCACCCAGGGAGAATATTATATAGAGAATAAGCAAGAAATGACGTGGATCCCTGAAGAAGAAGTAATATTTTAGAAGAACAGATTAAGAAATAACCAAAAAGGTTAGGGGGAAAATCAGAGAAATGTGACATCATGAAAACTAAGGAAAGATAATTCAAAAAGGTGGGATTAGTCAACATAATGATATAATCGCCAAGGAAGATGAGGTCTGGAAAAAAATGCCTTTTGAATTTAGCATTGAGGATCTCAGGAAAGCAGTTTTAAAGAGTGGTGGTAAACATAAAGCCAGATTAGAGGGCTGACGAGTATGTGGGAGGTTAGTTTTATTTGTTTGTTTCTTCTGAAACTTGACTGCAAAGCCAAAAAGAATAGCAGAAGTAGGATATTGTCTTGAACTGTGGGGTACATCAAAATCAGTTTAATTGAAATTAAAAATGTAAAAACTAAAGCATTCTCTGAAATCTGAAAGTTAAATTTGGATTTATTCTGTTTTGCATTAATTTATATACTACACAATATACTAGAATTTAAGTATTACATTTTGAAATATTCGGCCTTTTAGGCATATTGTTATGTGGTATATAAAAATGAACTTTTGAACTGATACTTGAATAAAAGTGCTTAAGTTGTTTTAAGATGGATTGTAAAATAAAGCTGTTAAATATATTAATTTCATATTTATATACATGTGTATTTATTTATTTCATCCTAAAGTAAGCCAATACACCTTCATGATTTGATTAATATTATTAAGCAGTTTTTAAAAATCAACCACTTTTTGCCTAACTTCGTGTATTTTTTCTGTCTCAACAACTAGAGCTGGACTGGCCATAATGGAGGAGGAACTGCAGCATTCACATTGTGTGAATTGTGTCAGTAGACGGTGTATGACCAGACCAGAGCCTGGGATTTCCTGTGACTTGATTGGTTGTCCATTGGTTTGTGGAGCAGTTTTCCATTCTTGTAAAGCTGATGAGCATCGACTTTTGTGTCCATTTGAACGAGTGCCTTGCTTAAATAGTGACTTTGGATGTCCATTCACAATGGCTCGAAATAAAGTTGCTGAACATCTAGAAACGTGTCCTGCAAGTGTAGTATGCTGTACTATGGAGTGGAACCGATGGCCAGTTAGTTATGCAGACCGGAAATCATATGAAAATCTAAGCAAAGATGTTGATGAGGTGGCACAATTAGATATGGCCTTGGCTCTTCAAGACCAAAGGATGCTCTTAGAATCTCTCAAAGTAGCCACCATGATGTCAAAAGCGACTGATAAAGTATCAGAACCTAGAGAACAAATCTCAGTTAAGTCAAGTGTTCCAGAAATACCACATACTAATGGTTTGTTGTCTGTTGATGAAGAATCTTATGGTGCACTTTATCAAGCTACTGTAGAAACAACCAGAAGTTTGGCTGCTGCTTTAGATATCCTGAATACCGCCACAAGAGACATTGCCATGTTAAGTACAAGTCTTCGTGCTTCTCCAAATGAAATGAATGAAGAACAAAATGCCAGGGAAAACTTACAGAATAGAATGTTGAAAGACCAGGACCATCTTTACGAGGATGAGTTGGGAGCAGTAGGTGGAATTGACCATAATCATACAAGTCATAACACCCAGTCTGAACAAAATGGTTCAAGTGATTTACTGTGTGACTTGAATACCAGTTCTTATGGCACTTCTCCTCTTTGTAATGGCTTTCCTTTGGAGGATGTATGTACACAGGTCATAGACCAGAACCAAAATATACATGATGATTCAAAACAAAGTGACTTAACAAATGGAGAATGTATAGCATCAGATGACACTTTACAACCTTCCAGTTCACTTTCAGTAGCAGCACAACTTAGGGAAGTCATACCAGCTAGTGCTTTGCCTAATGGCACAGTTCAGCATATCCTCATGCCAGATGATGAAAGTGAAGGAGAATTGTGTTGGAGGAAAGTAGACTTAGGGGACTTGAAGCATTTGGATGTCTTATCTTTCAGTCATCCTCCTCCATTCAAATTTCTGTCTAATTCATGTTGGTCTAAACCAAAGGAAGATAAAGCAGTAGATACATCAGATCTGGAAGTTGCAGAAGATCCAATGGGCCTCCAAGGAATTGATCTAATCACAGCAGCGTTACTATTTTGTCTAGGAGATTCTCCAGGTGGGAGGGGTATATCTGATAGTCGCCTGGTTGATGTTTATCACATTGACTTTGGGACTCAAACTTTTTCGCTTCCATCTGCAATATTAGCTACAAATACAATGGTTGGGGAAATAGCCTCAGCTTCAGCTTGTGATCATGCCAACCCACAGCTTTCAAATCCAAGTCCTTTTCAGACACTTGGGCTGGATTTAGTATTGGAATGTGTTGCTAGGTACCAACCCAAGCAGCGTTCAATGTTTACATTTGTTTGTGGACAATTATTTAGAAGAAAAGAATTTTCTTCACATTTTAAGAATGTGCATGGTGACATTCATGCTGGACTCAATGGCTGGATGGAACAGAGGTGTCCTTTAGCATATTATGGTTGTACCTATTCTCAGCGTAGATTTTGTCCATCCACACAAGGAGCAAAGATTATACATGACCGCCATTTGAGGTCATTTGGAGTTCAGCCATGTGTATCTACAGTATTAGTAGAGCCTGCTAGTAACTGTGTGTTGGGATTATATAGTGACCATCTAAGTGGTCTTCCTTTTGAGGTTCTGCAACATATTGCAGGCTTTCTTGATGGCTTCAGTTTATGCCAGCTCTCATGTGTATCCAGGTTAATGAGGGATGTCTGTGGCAGTCTGCTTCAGTCTCGTGGAATGGTCATACTGCAGTGGGGGAAAAGGAAGTATCCAGAAGGAAATTCATCGTGGCAGATAAAAGAAAAGGTTAGTTTAATCTTAACTGTATCAATCCCTTATTTGATATTTAATAGGTACTTAATAATGTTGCTGAATTAATGAAATTAATATCTTGTTGAGAAATTGACTACCCTTAAAACTTATTAACCCAGTATGATGACAACCTTTTTTTGTAGTGATAATTAATGAAAAACAAAGACATATTGTCGTAATCACACATTAACAGCAGACATCCTAAAACTGATTCTAATATGGCAGAAGCCACTTCTATTTCTACAGTCGAGCAGTTCTGTACACATTCAGTTCTGTAACAACTCCCTTTGTTTTAGTCCATGTTTACCATCTTCAAATCTGAGCTCTATCTGAAATATTTTCACCAAAGGAAATGGAGAAAGCAAGGAGGCTTACAACTGACAGTTTCTCTCCATTAACAATTTCTTTCATAGAACTTGGTTGTTTCAGGTAGAACTTATATAGGGAGAGATGACAAAAAAGATAAAACTGCACCTACTAGTAAGTGACCAATGGAGTATTGCGGGGTTTGAGAATATACGTAGGTGGATGTGGAAATGTAATAGACTGAAGTGATGCGGGTTCCGGGGTTGGTACAGCGCAAGGGGTGTTGCATATTGGAGTCTTGGGCTAGAGTTTCAGCAGACCAGCAAACAAATCCTGGCTCCACCATTTTCTTCTGTGACCCTATTTTCACCTGGCTTCCATCTGAGGCACTATCTACCAGAAACTAGAAGGCATTACTAATGTCTTTCTTTGAAGATGTTTTTCAGTTTTGAATATTTATAATGTGCAACTTTGCATTTTATGAAGTGGAAAAAAATTAATATACTTCAGATCAGTTGCACAGGGTTCAAATTTCTGGCTACTTTTTTCTTACCCTTAGGTTTTCTCTTACTTTTACTCATCGCTCCAGTTTTTCAGAATTCTATACCTACTTCTTTGTTCTCCTGTGACTTTGACTAATAAATGAACATACTTTTCCCAAAAGGGAATTCTGGTGGCAGAAAGTTTCATACTTGCTTCTATCTGTGTGTATATAATATTTTCATTTTCCACTTGGCATATTTCTTTCTTTTGGGATGGGGCACTCCTCTGAGGATAGCCTCATTTTTTTCCTCACCCACTAGTATCAACCTATAAAGTATCCTTGGATTTTAAATTGCCATCATTTCTGTATTACACATCTCTATCCTGGCCATTTTCTCCTCTGAACTCCAGACCATTGTACACATGCATCTACTTGACATCTGTACTTGATAACCTCACAGTGTCATCAAACTCAGCATGTCCAACCTACCCCACTTACTAGGGATAGATGGCATTGTCTGAGAAGGTGGCATTGTCATCTATCAAACTGCCTAAACTAGGATTTGGAAGTTAGGGTTAGCCTCCTTTTTCCTCCTTTATTCCATATCCAGGTAATCACAAAGTCCTATTGGGTCTCCCTTTCTCATACCACTCAGGTTTGCCTTACTGTTTCCACTGCCATTTTCCCCATCTTAAGTTCTCTCCTGGATTAGTACAATAGCCTCCTAACTGGGTTTCTGTTTGCAATTAGGTCCCTCTCTAACACAGTCTCTACATAAAGCCTAGAGTAATAACTATCTTCTTAAATGTAGTTCTTACACTGCAGTGTTTAAAATATTTTTACAAGTTTGTCCATTGTCCTGGAATAGAGGTAAACTCTAATGAAATATATGAGTTTTTATAATCTTGTCCTTGATGTTTTCTTTCTTAAGGTCTTTAAGTATGCTGTCCTTAATATCTACATTTGAGCACTTGGAATTCGCTGGATAGTGTGCTAATAAGCAGTTTGCTTTTGTTAAATCACTTAATCTACTGTTTTGTGGGTGAAGAAACTTAGCTTTAGAGAGGTTAAGTAACGTGTCCAACTAATTCAGGCATTCAGACCTGGGAAACTTGTCTCTGGAGCTTGTGATCTTCATCTTAGGCTATGTCCTGCTTACTCTTCAGATCTTCCTTATGAAAGCCTTTTGGAACCACACCCTGGAGCCTTCTGAGAGGATACCCCTCTGTTCATGTGGTGTCCCATTACATGATCCTACTCGGTAGATCCCTACTAAAGCTCATACTGTGCTCTTTTAGATTCACTGTTCAATTGCCAGTTTTTTTTCATTTAACTGTAAGTTCTTTGAGAAGTGAGACTCTCTGAGAACCAAAATATCTGCTGCCTAGCACAGCATATACCATATAGCAGGCACTAAGTAAGTACCTGATGGATACTTTTGAATGAAAATTTGGCCCAATACTAAGAAATTTGGTCATCAGCATGTAGGAACCATCCTTTTTTCCTGAGTTTGTTTCACCAGACTCTTAGCTGTATGGAAGTAGGGAGACTCCTACCATTGATTGAGTCCTTTAGGTAATTTACTCTGCTGAAGCTTAACAAAAACTCACTCTGTAGTTTCATGGAAATGGGAATCATAGGGAGGCTAGTGACATCTATAATATCTATGGGTAGCTATTCTCACTGGGGCTTTCACTGACTACTTGGAAATGATTCCATATGAGGTAATAGATAAAAACCCTAAGGAGTATAGTGAGTAAGTATGCATAGTGCTGAAAAGTGGTGACTTCTGTTGCCACCTGAGAAATGAGTGTGTTCCCACAGAATTTGAAGGCACCCAGTCACATTGGAAGGCATTATTACCATCCTTTCCCGAGAGGCTCTAATGAGTGCTGGAGGCTTCCTTCAAATCCACTGCTATTTTCTAGAATGTCTGCTGTTTACCGTGTAATTCTGTGTTCTTAAACTAAACATTTGCCTGTTGATGAGCTTAGCTAGGACACCTAGGCCTGTTCTGTCCCATTCATCCCTGTTCCCCAGTTCTGTCCTGCTGTATTGCTGCTTACTACCTATGTTAGCATAACTTTATATTTTGAATTGTGAAGAGGGGCCACAGCGGTTATTGCTGGACTAATAAGATGACAGTGCTTCAGAGCTTGAAGTTGCTGACTGGTAAAAGGGGAAAGTAACTCATATTTTTACCAGCAGACACATGAACAGGGATAGCAAGTGAATATTTTGCCTATAAATGCATTTTGTAATATATAAAGTAAAATAAGGTTGATTTTACAAAAGTTTGTTGTATATAAATTTTCAGAAACATTTTGAGCAAATTGAAGCACCCTGTGTTCTTGAATATTACTGAGTACTTTAGTATTTATAAACACCGGGAAGATAAGATATGTTGTCATAGTATTAAAGTATATTTTTTAGTATACTTCACACAGTGTAATAGGAAAGGGAAAAAACCTTTGAAGATCATAAGTAACACTTGTATTGTCAGTATCTCCAGACTAAGTAAAGATAGTTCTATGTGGTTAGTTGGATAGGATGAAAGAACAGTGTGCAATACATAATGTTTTAAGAAGTAGCTCTGAATTCATGAGGCCATGATTTTTTAAAAATTGCTTAATAAGCTAGGTCGGATGTGATTTTTAATGTTGGATTTTTTCTTTTGGTGGGGGTGGTTATCAGATTTATTGAAGTCATAATGTCACAGAAATGATACATGTTATAAATATTTGATAAACAGATTTGTATCTAAATGGATTTACCACTTTTAATTTTGTAGCTAACTGCTTGAAACTTTATATTGGATGTTTCTCTAACAGTAGAAATATATGCAGTTAGAGCAAGAACTGTGTTTTGATTCATGTAAATTGACTTGTTTAAATCTGAAGTAGAATTTTCTTTTAGGTGTGGCGATTCAGTACTGCATTTTGTTCTGTTAATGAATGGAAATTTGCTGACATCCTAAGCATGGCTGACCACTTGAAGAAATGCAGTTATAATATTGTAGAGAAACGGGAGGAAGCAATTCCACTGCCATGTATGTGTGTGACACGAGAACTCACTAAAGAAGGACGTTCACTTCGTTCAGTTTTAAAACCTGTACTTTAAAACCACAACTCCACTTGTGCATACATGCAAGCACCTCGTATACTTTTTTGTAATATGTGACTTTATTAATGTATTAAAGATTTCAGCTAGCTAAATTTATTGTCACTATGTATATAACATTTTGAAGTGACATATATTTTTATAAAGTACTGTTTATTTGGAAAAAGTTGCCTTAATGTTTGAAATGTGTGAAATTTTTGGAACTTGCTGGACAGGGTGATTTAGCTTTTAGCTACATAATTTTCAGAATTCATATTTTTAATGGTGTGCATATTTTGGTTCTTAAATTTTTTGCTTCTTAAACTAACCAGATCCCCACCAAACAATTTATTCCTCACATTTTCTGTGGGTTGCAATCCATGCATTCAAAAAGCAAAACTTTGAGTAAAATTGTTATAACATAAGTTTCTTGGGAAAAAACATCCAGTTGCTTAAGCACTGCCATAAGATCATTATAAAGATTTTATTTTCTAGTGCCCTCCTTATATAATTGTTGATATGTAGATCACTAATATATAACGTAATATTTAAAATCATGACTGACGTTTGGTAATGTCATTTACCATGTTTTAAAAATAATCCACAGAAACGTTTTCACCTTAGGTATTTACAACTCTCGTACAAAGAGTACCACATGCAGTTTTCTTTCTTGTTGCCCTCCACATCCAAAGACACATGGCATGTACCATAAGGCAGGGTAAATCAAAAACAAACAAAAAGCCTGTGGGTTTATTTTAATTTTAAACTGCTTGTGTTATTATATATTTGCCAGGCATTTGATATTTGGAGAGGAAAATATACCTCATTTTAAGTTTGAATTGGACATATTGTGTGAATAATCAAATAGAATGCAAAGGGCTTAACTTGTTTTCATAAACATTTAAAATTTTTGCTTGATGTTTATAAAAATCACAACCATTTTAAGACATTTAAAAATGTGAAATTTGGTTATCTTTGTAACATGACAATCATGAAAATGCAGAAACCTGTCTTGGTTGACAATCTCTTTAAAACATTTCCAGGTTAATTTCCCCTAGATTTCTCCACCAAAATGGGTAAGAATTGCATCTTTGTATAAAGATCAAGTTACAACAAAAATATTCAAAGACCTATTTTTTTTTTTTTGGTATCATTAATGTACAATTACATGAGCAACATTATGGGTACTAGACTCCCCCCGTTATCAAAGTCCCCACCACACACCCCACCACAGTCACTGTCAAAGACCTATTCTTGAAATATTTTATTATAGTTTTCAAATTGATTCATACTATTACTAACTTGATGTGGTCAGTTTAAAAAAATGACTATATCAGTATTTAGAAATAAATCCAAGTGATGAGGGTATGCACTTAAATAATTTAAGTACCTCTGGCATTTGGCAGTGTGAAAAGTTGACAAGTTACTGTGTTTTAAAATGTCAAAACTTTGTGTGTCTTCTCGTCCTACATTTGTCCCTGGGAGTGCTCTATTGTTACTAGGTTCTTGATTCCCATATACTGCAGTCAGACTGGGCAAAAGAGTTCTTGGGCATTAGAAAATAATTCTGAATTGCATAACACTTCATTGGATCAAGTTCTTATTGCAGTTGAAAAATACAGCATTAAAAACTAATGAGTTGTTTTGTCTCACCTTCATTTTAATTAGTAGAATACTTATTTCCCAGTGCTTAAACTTTATTTTTCAACTGTGAGATTGAAATTACATAAACAGTGTCTATTTCTGTGAAAAAAATCAGAAATAAAGTATCAAATACTATAAAATATAATGCTACCTTTTAAAGTTTTGCTGAAGGATGTGTCTGGTTAGGACAGCACAAACATTAACTCTTTGTTTTATGGTTGTGCCTTTTTATATCCTTGGGTTTTAAGTCTAGACTTATTTTTCCCACACTGCATCATGCTGTAGTTAACATTTTCCCACCTTATATTTCTTTTACACATCTTTGGGTGTTTTTTGTTTTGTTTGTTATGCCGCCATAATAGTTTATCAAAATGTTTTCTTTGTGCAACATCTGTTCAAATTCTAATAAAATTAATATTTCCTCTTTATATGGCTCAGTAACTTAAAAAGAAGAGCGCTTTCATTTAAATAAAATTTTAGTACTTGTTTGACAAATTCCAAACGCAGTCATTGTTTTTATAGTGTGGGTTTTCTGCATGCTTTAGGTGTTGATGATCATTGCTTACCCATGTTTTACTGGTGAGCATTAGGATTTTTTTCCTAATTTGGAGAACTCATTACTTAGCTTTTTGTGCCCCTTTAGTGTGTTCTTGAAAGTAGGCCCACCAAGGTGTGTTGAAAGGTGGAAAATTCTGGCGGTATTATATTTCTTAAACTTGGAACAGTTTAGCCTTTTAGGCATGACAAGCTTTGTATGCTGGTGAGGTAATTTGTCATTTGAGAAGTCTTTGTTGATTCCTTAGTCTTTGCTAAGCCAGCAGGATGAAGGGACGGATAATCCAAGCTATCAGGAAGGAGGGAAATCGCTGCCTCCTTCCCCACAACTGCCTGTAGCTTAGTGTCCCTTCTACCGGGTTCTCTGTCTCATTTGGTCTTTTGAGGTGCACAGATCACTTGTAGTTGTCGTTCCCAAAGTGTGGTCCCTGGACCAGTAGCATCAGCATCCCTGGGAGTTTGTTTTGCATCGCTGCAGACTGGTGGGCACTAGAATTAAACTCTGGGGTGGGAACAAGCAATTTGTTTTAACAAAGGCCTTCAGATGATTCTGATGCACAGAAAGGTCTGAGAACTTAGAGGGCAGCCTGGGATATGCCAGCTGTGCTCCTGAATGGGAGTGGGTATATTTGTGTATATACATAAATGTGTGATCCAAAAGTAAGACTATTAGTAATTTATTATTAATTAATGGCTAAGTTAAATGATATGTATTGTCTCAATCTTAGAGCCATATGACAAAATACATTGGATACCATGGCACATTTTTTTAAAAACTAGTATTTTACTAGTATTTTAAATTTACTGTTACTGCTAGTATTTCACTAGTGTTTCTTCTGTTCAAGGTAAATTGCAGTGCAACTTATAGTTCATTAGCACTAACAATCTAGCCTAGTCATCATTCATTCTCTGTTTAGTGGTTGCTGAGTCATGTGAACATAATTAGATTTCTAGGATAAGCAAAGAGAGTAGAACTAGACAAATACTGGATTAAATACTACAAAAATATTTGTAGAGATTCTTTCAACCCTATCAGTATTAGGTATTAAAGGTTGAGTTTTTGGTTTGTCAGTAGTATAGAATCTTATCTAGTTTTTAACCTTGTGCTACATATACCATTAATGTTGATGCTGTTATTAACTATCCCATAACACTGGATGTTGGGATCTTATTAACTGTTGAAGATAATGGGATTTTTAACAAAACTTCTATATCCCATTAAGATATGGTAGTTTATGTTACTATGATAATAGTTTTTTACTCTGGCAGTTTGAATGTAGTTTTTGATGTTTAGAAGTAAAACAGATTTTGTATGTAAAAGTAGATGGATAGTTTTTAAAATGTTGTAGGGAATAGTTATGCAAACATTAAAAAATGTGTTTGTTTTCATGCATGACACACCACATTGGAAGGTGATGTGACTGGAATCTGCAAAGGTGGGTGTTTAGAATTGCGGTAGAAAGAAAGCATTTGACCCTCATTCTCCCAGAAGACAGGACAAAGCCTTTTGATAGAAAGAATTTCTCAGATATGTGTTTGGCTGGTTATGAAAGTGCTGCCTAAGTAGTCTTACTTAACATGCTCCTGAGGCCTAGGAAGCAAGAGAATATTAGTTATTCCTTTAAAGAAAATCAGCTCATCAGTGACTCATCAATTGTGTTTAAAATAGTTCAGTGATGGGTTTTTTTAGTTGACCTAAATCAGATTTCCAAACAAAAAGTTCAAGATGTGTAAGTGAAGGCCAACTCTAGTAAACCCCTTCCTGAATAAGGGAAGAGGAAAGATAGTTTCTTTTTAGTCATCTGTCACACAATTATTTTCTTTGATTTAAATGATCAAGGTAAGTTCAAAAGTTAAATCCCTTCAAGTTTATATTTTATGGATGAGAATACTGAGGTACTCAAAGTTTAGGTACTGAGGAGTTACATGGGAGTATTCGAGAGAAATGTGCATAGTTTACTTTTCTACTTTACAATTGCAGAAAGAGAAGGGACATTTAGATATAAGGAAATTACTTTGGAAATATTACTTTGGAAAAAATTACTGTCTAGAATATTTAATTCCAAATAGGTGTTTTGGAAAGAATTATTGGCTAATACCAAAAGGAAACAAAGTAGAAATTAAGCATGGTATGTTGCTCTGAAAATCCTTTGCAAAAACTAGGGTCTTTTGCCGAATTTTTCAAGTATTTTATTCTATCTGTGGTTGATAAAATTCTATAAATTTGTTGTTTATATTTATTTGCATATATGATCTCCATAAATTGGCCAAGCAGATTTGAATACATCTTGAGAAGTACTAATGGTGATACATCTTAAGTTGCGTTTTTATACCTTAGAACTTTTTAAAACTAATATTTTGTATGCAGAATGTGTGACATTCCAATGTATTGTGTGGGAGTGACTTTTCATCAATAAACTACAAAGAAATGGTTTACAAGGACGATTCATGAACATGCTCTATAGAAACGGTAAAAAATGTATTGATATGAATCTCCTATTTTATGAATCTTTTATCTTTTTGTCATGTGGTACTGAGGCATCTTTTACCATGAAGAGAAGTATTTCTGAAGCAAACTGATAACAAAAACAAGGGAAATGTTTCTTCTTTCCTAACACCAAAAAAATTTTAAACATCCCCTAAATGATTTTATAAACCCGTTTTCATGCAAATATTACAATAGGAAATACTTTTTCAATACATCGTTAGTTCTAGAGTATGTGTAATTGTGTATATGTTTTAAAGTAAGAAAACTGCATTTCTGTTGAACTCTTAAGACTGACCAATCTATCAGGTCAAATTGTCCTTTCTCAGTAAAAGCAAATTTATCATATTTAATTTGTACCTTTTTCTAATACAGTTGTTAGAATTTTTTTCTCAGACAAGATCCTTAAACAGGCAGATAGGTTGGTCTTGGTTCATTCTTTGGCAGAGGAACTGACTAGGGTTAGATTGCCTTCTATTCCCCACTTGTCACAAAGTAACATTACATGTTACATTATTATTCAGTGGTCTAATAACATAACAATAAAAATAATTTGTTATTATTCAAAACATTGAAGTTGAGAAAAGGAGACCCTGCCCTTTGCTGTCCTTAGAATATGTATTTCCATTGCAATGTTCTTTCCATTTTAACTATCATTATTGCTTATTGATCCTATGACTTCCATTTTCTGACTATCAAAAAACCTAGATTAATTACCTGTGGTTTTTAAAACTTGTTCTGTTAATTAGCATATGTTAAGCAGTTTGGGTCAGTAAGCTTAGATTTGATTAAGTAATTTCCTCAGCTTTTAAAGTCGCACAGCTCACCAATACATTCGTAGTATTGAGAAATTGAAGTATTAGCATTCAGGTTTAACCTCATTATTTGATTAAAAGAAATCAAACCATAGAAATGATAGCTATAATTGGTACTACATCTGTTCAAAAGTAGAATTACCCAGTGAGTATTAACCTTTAAAAATTGTTACCTGTGTTAGAGGTTTGGAAAAAAGTAGAGAATGGTACTGATACCCAGCAACATTCCAAACTCTTGACATATGGAATAAATTGCTTTGAGTGGCTAATTATTCAGTGGACATGATTTCTAAAGATGTTTATGCTGCATTTTAAAATGTTAAAAGCTGTTCATTTGGTCAATGTTTAAGCACCAGTCCATCCTGAAATCTTGAATTGCATTCTGAAAGGTAACTGAACTGATTCATTCATTTGCCTCAGATGTCATTTCGTTTCCAATATCTTTTTCTCATGATTTACCTTAATAGTTGGTTTTTTCTTAAATGTAAAAGGATATGGTATTTCTTGAAATATGCTGAGTGAAAGAAGCTATAAACACAAAAGGCCACATACTGTATGATTCCATTTATATCAAATATCTGGAATAGGCAAACCCATTGAGACAGAAATCAGATTAATGGTTGCTAAGGGCTGGCAGGAAGGGGATGGTGGGAAGTGACTGCTTAATGAGTATTGGTTTGCTCTTGGTGGTGAAAATACTCAAAACAAGATAGCGTTTATTGCACAACAATTTGAATGTAATTGCCAACTAAATGACACTGAATTATACACTAAAAATGTTAGATGGTAAATTTTATGTGATGTGTATTTTAGCACAATTTAAAAATGGGGGGAGGGTACTGCTGTCATTACTGAAGCCAAAAAATACTGTGTTCTCAAGATTTGTGAAATGCTTCAGTTATGGTTTAGAATTAATTTACAGCACTAGTAAATGTGACAAATTCCGTTTAAAGTCTTAATAAAATTCATGAACACCATCACAGAAGTACCGCTGACAACAGCAGAAATAAAGTTGTTCCACACAATTTCCTTACATTTAATGCAACTTGGACTTTGAGTTATTGGCTACCAAGTCAAATGTTCATTTGTCACCTTTTACATTTTCTTGCGATTCCTTGTGGCACATCTCAATCACACTTTTTAAACTCCGTTTTTTTTTAATTGTGTAATTTCAGGATCATTTTTACAGTTTCATACTTTGTGTTCCTTTAAAAGAGCAAATGCAATGATGTATTAGATAAGACTAAATAAATTGAACTGATGTATATATTTCGTATTTTTTTTTTGTCTTTTGGGAAAAACATCTGAATCTTGGGATTGGTTGGTACTTCAATGATCATTTAGTCTCTCACTTTATATTTGGAGACACCAAAGCCGAGTTTGCCACTGTGTTCATTCATTTAACAAGCATTTATTGAGCCCTCATGCTAGGTTCTATACGGACTTGATTCTAGAAGGTTGTGATATACCTGAAGTTACACAGGGAATTACTACTGGTACTTTTTCCTCCTCTTTGCCTTTCCCTCTCCCCTTTTTCTCTTTCCCACCACTGTGTATCTGGTAATTATGCTGCATATATGGGCAATGGACAAGTTCCAGAAAAGGAAAGGCTTTAGTCAGAGATTCACTTGAAGTGGTTCTTCACATAAGGCACTTCCCCAGACACTTAAAAGAGATGTCTTTTAAACTAGCACAATCCTTTTTTATGGCACTGACTGGAGTCCAGGCCAGATTTCTGTGAGAGCCATTTGTTTGACTGCTTCCTTGTTGAGCTTTTTCCTGCATCCTTGGTTATTACCTAAAAACTGAAAGTTAAGTCAAGTTAACCATTTTGACTTGACTATATCTTAGCTGATAATGTACTTATGATAACTCCAATACCTTTTTAAAAAACATTTGATGACAGAAGATATGTTACATGAAAAATTATATATCCAGATAATTAAAGTATCTCATTTAGTCAGCAGACTCAAATCGATCTTTATGACATTTTTTACCACAGGAGAAATGAAAGGTCAATTTGAGTTTTATACCCTTGCTTTTCTTTTTCTTCTCTCTAGTGGAGGTACCTGAGCAGTGAAATGGTAACACGGAAGAGCATCAGGAAGGAGAGAAGAAAAGCAATAGACCTTATCATTTACAAATTATGTAGTACATACTCTTTTTTGAATAAATACATTTATTTCATTATTGAGAATTTCAAAATATGGGGGTGACATTATTGAGACTATCAGAATAAGGACCTCAGATACCCGTTGCTCCATAAAAACAATGAGAATACTGGTGAATATAGTCAAATTTAACTTTTTTCAGAGATCAGGAAATTAACCTGCAACAATCCAGTCTTCAACAACTCAGGAAATATGGCTGAATCTCAATGAAAACATCAGGCTTTATGGCATTCAACTTACCCCATTTTAACTTACACTCTCTCTCTCCCAAGCCCTATGGAAAACTTGAAAACCAACAACTTGTAATTGCGGCAAAAGCCAGTGGCCTAGCTGCAACTAGAAGGGTCAGGATGGTCTTGAAGGTATTTCAAGGTCCTATTCTTAGAAAAATGTAATTATTTAACTTATCTGGTGGTTCCTTGGAAATTCTACTTTCAATGTATATGTTTATTTGACCTGACTCAGAGCTCACCCTATGTGAACAGCCTTTATGCAGGGGCATTTATTGAAAATAATCACTGGTTGTTTAACTTTGCAGCTGGCTGTGATAATAGCTGGGGCAATCAATAGTCTAATGAAAAAATTTAAAAGGAAAAGCTGAGTAAGGTTGGTCCATAGAAGCCTTTGTAAAGTTCTGATACGTGATTGGGATTCTATAAATCTATGTGAATGCACGTTCAGGGAAGACCTGAGGAGGCTCTAAGCCCTTATCTCTGTCCCACTTTGAGACTATGCAGGAGAGCTGTGTTGAAGTCAAGCCCCAGTGCACACACATGGACCTTTGAGAAAGAGCCTAGATGGTAAATCAAATCCCCATGAGGAAATAAAGAGCACTAGTAAAGGTAACTACATAGATAAATATAATAGTAAAACTGTAATTCTTTTAACCTTTTTTTTCCTCGTAAGATAAGTGTATAAAGCAATAATTATAAATATGTGTTCATGAGCATACATTGTATAAGATGTAATTTATGTAATAGCATAATGGAAGGAGAGGGAAAGGAGATAAGAACTTAGTTTTTCTATACTCTTGATATCAAGTTGGTATTAATCTGAACCAGATGTTATATGTATTAATTTCCCAGGGCTTTCCTATGATAGTACCACAAACAGAGTGGCTTCGAACAATAGGAATTTATGCACCCACAGTTCTGCAGTCTTAAAATTTTAAATCAAGGTGTCTGCAGGGCTGAATTCTCTCTGAAGGCTCTAGGGAAGAATGTTTCCGTGGTTCGTTATAGCTTTTGGTGGCTTCAGACAGTCCTTGGAATTCCTTGGTTTATAGCTGCCTCACTTCAGACCCTGCCTGTTCTGTGGATGGTCTCCTTTCCTGCATCCATCTCTGCAGGTCCTCTCTTTCCATAAACACCAGTCATTGAATTTAGGGTCCACACTAATCCAGTCTGACATCGTTTCTACTTAAGCAATTACATCTGCAAAGACCCTATTTCCAAATAAGGTCACATTCTGACAAGCACATCCTGGGTAGACATGGGGGTCTGGGTGGACATTCAGCTCAACACTAATTGTAATCCCAGGGTAGCCTTTCAGTTAAAAAGATAATTAAAATATAATAAAAGAGACAAAAATAGAATAAAATGATGCACTGAGACATATTTAACATGAAGTAACAGAGGAATAGAGGAACATAAGAGACATAGACATTTAGAAGACAGTGAAATAGCAGACATAAGTGGTTTAACCACTTCAATTAGAAGGAAGAAATTGAAAAAAACCAACACAATCCAATGATATGCTGTTATAAGAGCCACCTTTAGGTTCAAAGAC